CTTATTTAAAAGTTTAAAATACGCACGTCATCAGTCTTAAGGTGACTTATTTCTTGAAGACATGTTTTTCTTTATTATTTTGCATTATTTACAAAAGGATTTAAGTTAATAACATTCCTTTGGCTTGTTTTTACAATTTATAATGAAATCGACCTTTTTTGGCTTTGGATACACAGCCGACTCAAACCGAAACGCGATCAAACATTAGGACTGTTTCACCTCAATGTCCAAATTCTCCACACAAAGACACATTTGATAAATATTACAAATTGTAGTCATTTTGAACGCACCGTTAATGATTAACAATACATTACTACCATTAAAAAAACACTTTAAACTTTTTTAGTTAAACTTGTTTGAATATTTTAACTCCCGCCCGACGTTTCGGATGCTTTGCAGCAGCCGTGGTCGCGAGGAGGTCCACATGAACTGATATATTTCGCGTTGTAAACCGTTTAAGTATTTGAATGTGTACTACGCGCGTAAACAGTATTTAGTATTTACATTGCTACCATGAGACCGCCAACAATATACACGAGATTTAAGTAACAAATGTAATGATATTCAAATTGATAGTTTCAGCATTAAACGCACTTCCACTATCTCAAGAGCAATAATCCTCTCAATAATTTAAATTACATAAACTGAGAGCGTGTTTCCGAGCGTCTAGTACTTTTGACATTTGGCGTTATTCCAGAATACACGCATCACGATGAGTTCTCAAAGTTCTGATTGAAATGCGTGGTGAGTACAAGTTTCGTCTCGAAGTCGCCGATATAAATTAAAAATCTATTAAATAAATGAAACACTCTTAACGGTTTAAAACGCAAAAACTATGGCCTGACGTTTCGGATTTTTTAAAACAACCTTTTTAAAGGCAGGATGCGGCAAACCAATCGATTTTTTTTTCGAGTGGTACTTTCGATTTTTAAATTATAGTGGTATCATGTACAGTAACATGTGAACAACATTAAAGTATTTTAAAAGTACATTGTAAAGTTAACTAATAAATTTCGTGACCTAAATTTTTATTTAGTTGTACTACTCGCGTAAATACTAGCAGACAATACTAATTCTATTTACACAAAAAAATAAGATGCGGTCGGAAGTTAAACCGACAATTCGTGTCTTGTAAACCCCTAGATGTAATTGCTAAAAAAAAATTAATGGCTAGAAAGTCATATTTCATAGAAGTAAACATTTTATTAGAACAGGACATATTTCCTGCACAAAAAGTATTACTAATAAACTCGGCTATATTAACACTACAAAGTTTATCAATATTGGTTAAGCCATTCGAACGTTAATAACAAAGATCCACACGTACATAACAAAGACTGTTGGGTTGATAATCTATATTAATATAAAAGGCTGAAGGTTGTTTGTTTGTTTGAACGTGCTAATCTCAGGCACTACTGGTTCGAATTGAAATCTTTTTGTGTTGGTTTATTGAGGAAGGCTAAAAAAATATCAATGTGACTAATAGCAGCGAAGAAACAACGGGAAATGTTGAAAAAACTGGAATAATCATTCATCCTTGTGGGCTTCCACTGCGTACGCTGCGAAAACGTTTCAAAACAAGGAATTATTTCCCAAAAATGAACTAACAAAGTCCGCGAGAATTAACAGCTTAAGCTTATAAAGAAAGGGGTTTGCAAAAACGAATTCGGATACCCAAAATAACGATTCTCGCGGACGAAGTCGCTGGCACAGCTAGTATTACATATTTGATTGACACATGACGTTTGCGCCTCCCGTTGAGCTGTCAGATCCTTCTGTCAGATGTCAGAATATCTAGAATCTAGATGGCTATGACCCTTGCGATGCCTTTTGCGATTGTGGTCCACTTGAATAGTTTGAGCATGGTAAAAATAGTTTATTTTCATTGTAATTTATCTGCCTGCCGACTCTTACGCTTTTGTGTTTGTCACCTCACTCTACATAATATTGTTTATTGATTTTAGTACTATAGCGCCATTGCATATTGATGCTTCATCTACACCCATTTGGACAAATAAATAGAAAATATAATGAAGTATGTAAATAAAACACTTTATACGGTTTACAACGCGATAATATTCGTTAAACTTCATTTGAAAATGATTTTTAATTGCTGACTTTGATCTTAGAACAGCCTGGTCAGAGACTAAAGATGGAGGATGTTCTGATCAAAAAATTGCTACGCTAGCGCCATCTGTTCCGTCGAAGTTGGTATTTGGCGAAACTGCCGGTCCTTAAGAATTACTATTTTCGCTTTCCGGTATTTTTATTGGGATCAATTTTTAATATGGGATCCCTTTTCATAATTTGAGGCCGTCCTCCCTATTGAAACTTCGTTGTTTTTTGATTTCAATTGTTCGCGTACCAATCTTGGAAAAACACGATCTCCTTTGAGGATTTTATTTATATTTTATATGCAGTATGAAAGAAAAATTGTGTAAGATAATATTTGAACTGAAATTTTTTGCTATCTTAAACAACTTAAGATTTAAATAAAATACATATTATTTCGTCATTTCATTAAATAGGTACTTGATACAGTTTTAGACCAAAACTTTTTTAACTAGCTGACCTGAACGTTCTTTTGCCATATTATATAAAAAAGAAATAAATTTTAAAATAAACCCCCTTTTCCAACACCCCCCACCGGGGGTCCCCGTTACGTTCAAAGTGAATATTTTTCCCGTTCTTTTCCACTTTCCACTATTTACCCCTATTGATCGCAGTCTGATAATTTATAGCTTATAGCATTAGTAGATAAAAGGCCTAACCAACACAAAAATAATTTTCAATTTGAACCAGTAGTTCCTGAGATAAGCGTGTTCGAACAAACAAACGACTTTAGCTTTATAATATTAATGTTCATATATTTTCCCGGATTCGAACCCAGGACGACGTGGTCTTTTAAATAAAAATCTAAACTAATAACTAAGGCGGTATATTCGTTAAAGAAAGATTTTCTATAAAATCAAGACTTCAATACATTTAATCAAACCTATTTTAAGATTTCACATACCTCAACTCCAACTCCAACAAATGTCTAAGCAAAGTCTAGATTATAACAAGTAATTGTTGAAATTTTAAAATGCATCTGTTTAAAACTGAAATCTAGCGTGTTACAATACGTTCCAAAGCAAGTTATTTCTTCACACGGAAAACAGTGGGCGTTACGGAATGTTCCTTTTATTTCCAAATCTCTGATGCAATGCGTTCTTTGAAAATACCAGAATAAACTATGTCTTATTAATTAGCAATCAATCAATGAGATTAGATAAAAACCAAATGGCGGTAACTATTGTTTAATTTTGAAACAAATCACATACTTAAATCTTTTTCCAATACTTTTATTGTTGATAGTTTTACACAATATCAAATCATTAATTCCACATAAAAAAAACAGAAAACACAGAATCAGAAAAATAGATATTTAAAAATGGCCCTCGAACAAAGGCTGACTGGTGTCCCTACACCACTCGGCTTTAGTTGCACCCAGTATTAGGGCTCACGCAAATTTGAATATAATAAAAAAACAAAAACATTTGAAATATACACCCTTACAGACTTAGTTGCAAATACCCCTGACCACGGTTAACGGCAAACGGCAAAAAAAACGGCGGGCCAAAAAAAAAAAATTCAAAAAAAAATTTTGAATGATATATAAAAAATGTGTACTACGCGCGTAAATATAGACAGTATTAACATTTGAAATACATAATATGTACTTCTAATTATAACCTAACCTTCTTGCATCAGTCGTTGCCATGGGGCCCTATATTTTGTCGTTTTAAATTAAGTTTATTGCGGCGGCCTGTGCTTTGACCAGAGAACACTTGATATAAATATTGTGAACAACTGTGAATCGAACACCTCACCACATGTACTCTAGTCGCGTGCGCACGGCTCTCAGATAAAGTAAATAATACGTTCTTTGATCCTAAATGTAATGCTCGTTATTTTTAAGACTGGAAATAAATGTATAAAACGGTTTTAATGGTTTTACGAAACGTCGGCTGAATTGATCAGTAATTACTTTTATTTATTATGATGGATGTATAAACAACTTGATAACAAACATACATAAGACGGACATGGCCATGAAGCATATTTCAAATTAACAGCATTCCTGATGTAAAACGTTTTATGTAGTACGTTTTAACGTCTCTCCGTGACCACGGCTACTCAAAGCTCCGAAACGTCGGCCGAAGTTAAAAATCATTTTCAAATAAGTTTAACTAATATATCCTTTTACCGTTAAAGTGTTTTATTTAAATTCCTGATGTATTTCATCGCACGGGAATCGCATCGATGCTCCGAAATAAACTTAGCGCCTACCACTGGCCCACGAGGGCGGCAGTTTCCAAAATTAATATGAAATATTGGAATATAATATACAGAGATTCAAACGTTTGTTAAGGGGGAGTACTGCTTTGTCAACTGGTTGCCTCCATTTTTTGTTAGAGATAGATAGAGGACAAAGAAGCATTGGAAGAAATACCCCAGCCATATGAAAGAAAGAAATAAAAAATTGTTTATTGCCAATAAACTACAAAAGTACAAACAGAACGACTAAAGATTTTTTTTTTTTTTTGCAAATCGGTCTTCAGACTCAGCTGAATGCTGCCTGAAGGACACACAGTGCGGATTTTTCTGTCTGCTTCCTCTGGCCGAAGTTCCTCTGGACGCAACCTCATCCAAGTAGTTCCTTTTTTAAAAAAAAAAATTTTTTTTAAAAAAAAAAAAAAGTTTTGGCAAAGGGGAAAAGGCCGCCCTTGCACAAAAATGTTTTATTTTGTATATGTAATTATGTACCGTTCTTATTCTCAAAATGTTTGTGCAATAAAGATTATTTAAATTCCATTGACGTATACACAAAGTTTAACTACTGTAACTGCATAACTATTTTGTTTACCTACTTTAGTTTAACATAACCTTTCGACTTATCTGTTCTTACGAAAAAATTTAATGAACTACAAGATTGACACACTGTACATACATGACAGATGAGGTAATAAATATAATTTTACTGCGCGGTACGATCGGTTTTGTAAACAGAGTTTATTACATTCTTTGAAAAACGTTATAAATAGTATCTACTATTTTTACTTTAGGAAACGCAAAAATGTTTTGACTGCTATTATGACATTAAATTTATTACCCACCGTGTCTCGACATTGCCGAACTATAATTTAATACTGTATCGCATGTACTTATTAATAATCTGTTTGTTAAAAAAGTAAAAAGAACTAAGAATCTAATTAAGTTTCAAAGAATTTTATTCTGATCATACGACCACATTATTCCGAGATGTTACTGTGAAATCAATGTCCTTAAACCGAATTTTACTTTCAATCGATTTAAAAGTGTAAAACCATAGAAATAAATATTATTTTAATATACATTTTGTTTTTTTTCACATGTAAATCTAAAGATACTGGCCGAATGAAAATAAAATACTGTTTTACTGTTTTGGCGATAAAGAAATATATATGTAATGTATAATAAAAACTTTTGTATTTGTTACAGATTTTCGTAGTGGTAAAAGAGTAAAATTCATAGACAATTAACTACAGACAGAAGAAATTATGACGAATCGCACTAAATTAAAATTCCGCTCAGAGTAATTGGTTAGCTAAACTGCGATACATGCTAGACTAGTTTAATTCTAAATAAATCGATAGTGGCCGAAGGAAAGAAAGAGATGTCGCTAGTTGCGCCCAGGAGGGTCCAGTTGGACTGGACCAATTCTATACCGTGGTAAGTCCAAAACTCTTTGCATTAAAATAAACTTGACTTTATTCTTTATCTCTATTAATTTAATTTATGGTAATTTCACATGTGATCTGGATTATTTAAATTAACTAAATCGGGAATTATTTTTCATAGGTCCCCAAGTAAAAGCTACGTATAACGTCAGGCAAATTGTTGATTGTTTTAATAAAATAATACGTAATAATGTAGATTTCATGTAAAAATACATTTTCGTTCTGCCAACATCTGATAGCGCCTGTAAAAATGTCAATAGCAATATATTACGATCGAAACATTGTAGTAAAATAACTAAAAAGTATGAAATATTTATTAAACATATATACTTAAGAGTTACAAGAAAGAAAACTGCGGAAAACTCGTATAACAAAGCAATAAAACTTTTTATTAGAGTTAATTATTACAACTTCTTGTCAAGGGTTCAATGACCTTTTGCGGCCTTTTCACACGAACTTCACTCGACAACGGAGCAGACATGGGGATCCGTCAGCTGAGCGAACATCAAACGCAGCCAACTTCATAATAGTGAAAATCTGTCATGGTTGCTCGATCGATGTGTCTCCCGTATTAAAAACGCGAAAAATGCGATAATATGTCGCATGCAGCGATAAAAAGCTATACCAACACAGTGGCTGTGATCTCTCGCATTTTACAATAATAATTGTCCCCATAGTTGTCTAGTGGTGTGTAGTTTCAGTGAAATTTCAACGGATCTAAATTTATTCACAGAGCAACTATCACAATAGTCTTCGGTGAGTTTTGAATTTTTAGGGATCTACTGCCGATAAGACAGCTTATAAATTTTAATGGGTAATTAATTTCATATTTTTACATAGTTTTCTCATTAATTTTCACTGTGAATTGAGAAAAATCGATTTTATGTGGGTGTACCCGCTGATCTTGCTATCTCTTTCTAGTATTACCCGTTCACGGTGAAAAGTGACGTAACCCTAGGTAGTAGCGTAGTGTCACAGTGCAAGGAATATTGTTGTGTGTCTATACTTGTCCCTTTCTTATGGGTGTCCCACAAAATTCCAATTTTGTGTCGGGAGGTGTTATTTTTCAAAACGTCCATACACTATTTAAAAATACAATTTTAAGTAAATAAGAACTTGGAGGGCAATAGGAAATTAAAATTGTCCATTGTTTATTTGTTTACACCTATGGTTAAAATAAAGTATTATATGTAATACTACAAACAGTTTAGTCCGATAGTTTCTAATAAGAAAAAAAAATAGGACAATATACCATTATGATTTCTTAAAATTATATATTATCTTATCTAATATTACTCACCCTAATTATATTTAAAATAAAAAGTTTCATACATTTTGGTCTCATTCATTTTCGCCAATACTGATTTAACTTTTCATAATTTCCTATCTGTGCAAACTTTTTATAATATTGAATTTTTATAACATGCAGATAACATGAAAACAACACATTACTTAATAATTAGTCATAGAGGCATGTACTTAGCTATTAATAGCTTATGTCATATTCAGAATAAATGTCAGAAGTGATAACCTTTTTACTATGTTCCGGGGTTATTCGGGACTTCTGACATTCCATATTAACCTTTACTGTATAATAGTCCATATGTTAACAGAATTTAAGTGTGTGATTAACTGACAATTTAATACAATTAATTTAGCAACTGTTTTTTAAATACAGGAAAGTTGATTTAGGCCTGAGGCACATAATATCACCTTTGTTAAGACAAGGGCCAAAGTAATTTCATGTCATTATATATTATATATAATTACAATACTATAAGGTAATATTGTGTAAAAAGACATATTTTACATCATAAAAAAGAAAAAAGCTGTTGTACTTACTGTCTTATCGAAGGTACAGTACTAAAACCAATCAGATTTTAAAGCAAGACATTTGAGTATGTTAATTGTTTAATATGTTATATATCACAAACTACTCTATTAGTACCTGTTTTTAAAAGTTTAAATATACCTAAGTAAGTTTAAAGAGAGCTGGGATATTTAAAAAAATCATAACATAAATCCGATGCCTGCCTTTTTAAGTTTATTATAAGACGTCATAATATACTTAGTTGCACTAATGTGGCATAATTCATCATATTGCGTCTGACGTTATAGGGTTTCGTTAAGTCATAGATAGATTAGAACTAAATAATCAAACATAAATTGGTAAACAAGCCTTTGATAAACATTATTTAATTACACTGAGTTTGTTACTTTACTAATACAAGTCTTGACTTTTTAATGAACCAATTCAGCAGTTATAACTTTTTAGGCTTACTGACACCAATTAAAGGCTAGTTAATTAGCCGCACACTATGACCATTTCATCCAATTTTCCAATGCAACCTAGTTATTGTTCAATTTTAAAATCAATTTAACTAGACTTAACAAATACTAAATAAGCTACTAATCAAATTCTATTCTATTCAATATTCAAAACTAAAGTTCCATAGTGCCTAGTTTCCTACAGTAGCTTTCTGATGGGTCCTCATTTGTATAGTCAACTTATTTTGGTTTTGGACATTCGGAAATCCGCAGACTCAAAACCGTACCGTTTTCATCTTGCGGTTCGTAACCGAAATTTCGATATTTTTGCCATCTATTAAAAATTAAAACTTTCTAGACAAAGTCCAACATGTTGAAAATTATAAATTGATCAGTGGCAAGAATCGAACCTAGGGCGCGGTAAATATTTGCCATACGAGAAGAAAATTTTGGGTTTTCAAAGATGTGGTAGATGGGTTGACAGTGAAATGATTTCTACATTTTGAATACCAGGAGATAAGGAATCTTAGAGGCCTTGAATACAAGGTCATTCCTGTATTATAAGGCATAATAAAATCGATTATCATTATATTCTCTTGCAGGGAGCAAACAGGGTGTGATCGCGAGCCGTACCCTCTCGTCGCGCCGCGCCCTATTCGTCGATCTAGTAAGGAACAAAACAGTATTACAGTGTACAAAAAATTAATTGCCACAAAATTGCACCAATTTAAAATATAAAAAGTGTAATCCCTTTACCGTGGGGCATGGGGCGAACATATTTCTGTGTCCGTTTCACTAATCGACTCTTTTGCAGGCAAGTAGTTGATTAAGACTTCGAGATTCGAACCCAGGCCCTCTCGCGATTAACGCTATGCTGGGCAACAAATCTAACCATTAAGCTACAGAGGAGGTTATATTGAAAATTTAATATACGCTAATACAGACCGGCCGTGGGTTCAATTCCCAATGGGTGTAAATCAATTTCAGATTTTTCTGATAGTATACTGAATAGTTCTCGGGGAATTACTATGCACAAAATCATAGTTTATAGTTTGATTTATTTTAGTTTTCTGGTCTCTAATAGCTGCCAGGCATTTAAATAAAACACTTTAACGGTTTAAAACGACATATATTATTATTATTGTATTATATATATGGTTAATCTTATTTGAAAAATATTTTAACTACGGCCCGACGTTTCGGACGCTTTGCAGCAGCCGTGGTCACGGGGAGACACGTAGTTAAAATAATTTCCAAATAATTATAATATACATCGCGTTTTAACCCGTTAAGTTTTTCAACTTTTCGCATGACAGCTACATATACAACATTATAGAATTTGAACGGTTATTGAAGTCTGTGTCTCGCTTTCAGAGTCATCTTCATCATCAGCGGACACTGCGTCCCAGGGCTCCGGATCAGTAGAACAGCCCAAACCGAAGAAACATGAACCTCAGGTAAGCAGGTTTGTCTGTCGATAAGATAAAATATAGGCACGCAAACGCCGATCTTTTAAAAGAATGTGTATCGTATATTAATTGTAATTCTTTAATATTTCGTTCTAATGAATAATTGTACGTTACTGCAGCAGTCCGCAAGACAATATTGACTTACAATGATTGTGGCAAACTTACTATCACACACATATATATATATATGTATATAATATTTGTCTAAGAATTACCTTTTATATATTTCATACCTAATTATAAGTGTCCGTTTCCACCACCGTTAGAAATTTTTTTCGTTTATTTATATAAATTAGGATACAATTATATAAATTAATTAAACTTATGGTGATATAAAAATAGTTTTATATGCCCACTAGCTGCGCAAGCGACTTGGTCCGCGTAGAATATTTATTTTTGGCGTCAACATTAGCTGCTCAAAGATGCATTTCCCCATTTGTTCCACATTTCCGCTGTTTTTTTGCTCCTATTGGTAGCAGTATTTTATCGCCTAAAGCCTTCCTCGATATATGTTCTAACCTACAAAAAAATTAATGTTTCAATTCGAACCCGTAGTTCCTGAGAGATTAACTCTCAGGTTTATACTATATATTCAGGTATGATGTAAGTATAGATAAAAGATATTTTGTTAAGTAGTAGACAGCATGTCTATATGCTGACGCGAGTACTTAGTACACATGTAAATAAAACACTGTTACGGGGAGACATGTCTTCCCGTGACCACGGCTGCTGCAAAGCATATCCGAAATATATTTTGTTGATTGTATGTTTTCACTATATGTATTTTGTATTTCAGAAGCAGGAACGGTGCGCGGAGCAGACTACGCCAAGAGTGCAGCCCAACCCCCTATTGAGGTAATAAATTACTTAACGGTCGGTTAACTTTAATCAATGTCATTATGGCTTAGTGAAATTTAGCCTTGATTACATACATTAGCGCTTACGAAATAATAAGTTAGATGTGAATGAGACCTTGTCCCACATTGATTAGAAGTTAGAGATTCGAATCCCGGCTAATAATTCAGGATAGATAATCGTGGTTATATAAAAACAATCTCGTTACTGAATTACTAATTATAACTAACTAGTAACTACATAGTTAGTTTACAGACAGTTAGCACAGTGTTATGTTACTAACTATATAGTGAGTAATATAACACTGCGTCTCTTCTATCCTCTATTATTACCATCCTTGAGGTGCTGATCGAATGATTTATTGTCAACCGCAATGAGGATTATAATTATTGGTACTATGATTATATTACATTTCGTTCAAAATCAAAAGTTGTATTTCCTGGAGATAATCTTTGCTACGGGCTCATTGGCTCACCATATCTAACATGTTTCTAAAAAAAATATATTTTTCTGCTACATGTTGGACTTTGGAAATCTGGATAATAAACGGGTGATAGGAATATTGAAATTTAGTTAGTGTAAGGCACCATGTCCACAGATGAAAAAGCTATACAAAAACGTGGAAGCTTTTCATCTGTTACAGCAGTTAAATTTTTTCAGTTTTGAATTTCCGAATATCCGAAGCCACAAAAGGTCGAGAGCACGTCTTGTACAGGTGTGGCTATCGTTCTTTATTAATTGTTAACGAAAATACGTGTTGTACTAGGGTACTAGGAGTGTTGTGGTGTAGTGATTAAGACGATTGTGAAAAAATCAAGGTGTATAAAGTAAAGTGGTATAAAGATTAAATATATAAATTAATCCTGCGTATATGGTATTACAGATATTTCAAATACCGGGCTCTCATAAACATTTGGATGTTCGTAGATCGCGTACGCTACCGAATTTCGGAGGGAAGGGTTCTAAGGAAGGGTCGAGGTGCGACACCTCGCGGCGAGCGCATCACATCACCATGGCAACCGAGGATCTGTTGCAACCCGGACACGTCGTTAAGGAGAGATGGAAGGTGCGTTCTATTTCTTATGCCCTAGTAAGCAAACGTGAAACAACAATTTTTAATACAACTTTTTGAATAAAATTTATCTGTAGGTGATAAAGAAAATCGGAGGTGGTGGTTTTGGAGAGATCTACGAGGGTTTGGATTTGGTCACGCAAGAACAGGTGGCACTCAAAGTGGAGTCAGCCAGGCAGGCGAAACAGGTGCTCAAGATGGAGGTGGCTGTGTTGAAGAAGTTACAGGGTAAGTGTATCTTTTATTAGCCATCGTAAATGCTGTTATAAGTTGTGTACGCTATAAGTAGAGTAAATCAACATAAACTTGATGCCAATGCGATTGTTTCCTTTCAGGCAAAGAGCACGTTTGTCGCTTCATCGGGTGCGGACGCAACGCGCGTTTCAACTACGTTGTGATGCAGCTGCAAGGGCGGAATTTAGCTGAACTTAGGCGGGCCCAGCCTCGCGGTGCTTTTTCTCTATCCACCACTCTGCGGTGAGTGCTACCTTGAAAGTATGGAGATTTCGAAGTTAGATAAAATACTCAATGAACAAAATTGTTCCAGGCTCGGTCTTCAAATATTAAAAGCAATTGATTCCATACATTCAGTTGGCTTCCTGCATAGAGATATTAAACCTGTAAGTATAGAATGTGGTTAAAAAATCTTTAAAAATATTCAAGAGTAGTAAGTAATTTAAATAAAAAACTTTAAGGGTTTAAAACGCGATATATTGGTTAAACTTATTTGAAAATTAGTTTTAACTTTGGCCCGACGTTTCGGATGCTATGCAGCAGCCGTGGTCACGGGGACGGGTCACGGGTTTCTAAGAGAAAATAAGTATCAGTATTACAAGATTATAAAGGAATATAATATAATCTTAAGGACGGTCCAAATAAAACTATGCAAAACGTTTGATCGTATAAGAATGATTAAACTAATATATTTCGCGTTTTAAACCGTTAATTTTATATTTACTTCTCTCTTCCAAAAAAGTGAGTAAACTTTATAATTGCTATGATAGCAAATCCTAAGTACCAGGATAACAGAAGACGTAAAGATCTTTATATCTACGTTGCAGAGTAACTTTAGTATTGGTCGTCATCCGGCCAACTGTCGCCGCGTTTATATGCTGGACTTTGGTCTGGCTCGCCAGTACACCACCAGCACCGGGGCTGTCAGGCCACCACGAGCTGCAGCTGGATTTAGAGGTATGTAGGTTATGTAAAGAAATAATTTGATAAATTTAACTGTTAAGTCTTTATAACTTAAAAATCGATTTTTACGACACGGGCAGGACTTGAACCTGCATTCACATCGTTTAGTTAATCGCCTCTGTAGCCAAATGGTTAAACGTATTGCCTAGCATGGCGTAAAGCGCGAGAGGTCCTGCGTTCGAATCACAGGGAAACAAAAAATTGTTTCGGTCGGGCAGGGCACGGAAATCTGGAAAAAATGAATATACTATTTGCCTGTTAAAGAATGGTTTAGTAAAACGGACACAAAAATGTGTTCGCCTCATGCCCCATGAGAGGGAAACAGGATTTCACTTTTAATCTCAATTGGTTAGAAAAAAATAATTATTGCACTATAAATTTAAACAAAGGCAGGATTTAAAAAAAAAGCGATCTAGTTGCTGAAAATGTGAAAATTTAATTACACATATGAGTGTATACAAGTTTTTTTGTTTATAATAAGAAAACTGAATTCTCACAGTGCAGTACCAAGCCCTATAAACTTCAAAAGTTACTGATTAGGTTTAAATTACAGTACATTTGTTAGTAATAAACAATATTATTATAATTTAAAATGCAATACCTTAAACTTATAATTTTGTATTTTTTAACAGGCACAGTTCGATACGCTTCAATTAATGCCCACAAGAATAAGGAAATGGGGAGACACGATGATCTCTGGTCTCTCTTTTATATGCTCGTGGAGTTTGTCAATGGCCAGCTGCCGTGGAGGAAGATAAAGGATAAGGAACAAGTGTGTATTCTGTTTGTTATTTATTAATAATAAAATTGTTGGAAATTCTCATTCTTACATTGGAAGTTTTAAGAAAAGTACACTTAATAAGGAGTGAAAATGAAGTACTTACGTGAGTAGTACACATTTAAATAGAACATTTTTAACGGTTTAAAACACAGGATGTATTTTATAAACTTGTGTTTCATTTATTTTAAATACGATCCGACGTTTCGCATGTTTTATAGCAAACGAGGTCAGGAAGGACTATATGTTGCGTTTTAAAGAGTGAAAAAAAATTAAATACTTTGAAGTAACTGAAAATATTAATTTTTTATATTAAAATTAATGTCATATTTATTTCTTCACCTTTTTACAGAAAAATAGACTTGTCTTTAAAAACTATGACACAGAAGAGACTTGAACAGGCAACCACAGTGTACCATGCTGCTCTTCCTATCTTAATTATTTACTAAATTCTTATTAAAATGCTGGTAAAACCTTCACCAGACAATTAATAATCAACTTATTACCCCCAAAGGTCGGTCTGATGAAGGAGAAGTACGACCACCGTTTGCTCCTGAAGCATTTGCCATCTGAACTTCGTCAGTTCCTTGAGCACGTGCAGGCATTGGAGTATGCTGATACACCAGACTATGCTATGCTGGCTGGCCTGCTGGAGCGGTGCTGCAAACGGCGTGGTATACGCGATACGGATCCTTACGATTGGGAGAAAGATGTAAGTGACACTGTCTATACAAATATATAAAGCTGGAAAGTTTGTTTAAACGCACTAATCTCAGAAATTACTGTTGGAAATTAAAAAGTTATTTATGTGTTGGTTAGAGCATTCGTTGAGGAAGGCTATAGAGTTATTAGTCTTCGTTAGACGATATTTCGCACTGCGACTAATAGAAGCTTAGAAACAGGGAAAAATGTGAAAAACGGGGAAAATTATTCGACTTTGAAGATTTCTGTTGCGTAAGCTGCAAAAACGGTTCGAGATACCCAAAAATTATGGATATAGGAATGATTCGTCTTGAAATGATCTAAATAATTTCCGGGACAGTATATGCATATTTTAAGCCGTCGTGACAGCTCAGTTTAACAAGATGAAGAGGAGGTTTGGAAACACAAATTTGTATTCACAATATAACTACTCTTGGCGGACGAAGTCGCTGACACCTAGTCTATGACAAACACGCTATAAAGACATACCATTAATTATAATAATAATTTACAGAGTGTACCGAACCGCGCGCGTGTCACGTTACAACCAACGCCTGACCTCCCTCTGCAAACGGATCTTCCGGATAGAGTGAGTATATTAAATAAGCTTAAAAATTAATGTATGTATATTATATATATATATATATATATAACCATAATTACTTCTAGTTAAGTTAAAAACAAGGTTTCAAAATACATCCTAAAACACGAACAAATACAAACATTTCTGCCTCGCAGAGCAAGTTAAACCGATGTTTATAACCACTAATTTAGTGAAAGTCCGCCTAGCCACATTGGTGTACCATGGTGGGTCTAAGCTTCCATTCTAAGAGGTTAGCTAGTGCATCTCTGGAACATTAATAAAAAAAATATGAGAGAAAAGGATAAAGAAGCATTAGGTAGTTGAAATACTCTAGCACATATAACATCTAAACAAGATGTGCTATCGTATATTTTGACATTTGGAAATCCACTTAATGTAGTGTGCTTAATGTATCTCAAATGTCTTCAGCCATCCCGTCGTCGTGAACCGGATGCTACAACTGCAGCGGGTACGGAGACTCAGAGCAACGTACGCACTTCGCCAAGACACGCCCACCTCAATGGATATGTGAGTTTTCTTTCCTATTAACTGCATTCAAGTCTATAGGGCGAAAACATATCATCAACACATCAAAGCGTGTTATCTATAATGAATGAATATTATTTTAAACTATGACAAAGAGCACGGTAGTAAATTAAATTCCAAAATTTGTTAAACAAAAGAATATATATAGATTCTATCAAAAACATAGGTTCGGCCCCCAACGGGTTCAACATTTTTTAAATTAATTTATATTATTTCTGAAACATGTTTGACTTCGGCTGGAAATCTGGATATTACATGTATGATAAGAGTTTTAAAAATACCATCCGGGTGACGAACGGGTGTCTGAAGATGAAAAAGGTGTCAAGTTAAATAGCGTTTCGTTTTCAGTCTGTGGATTGTCAAAAGTTACGAGGAGGGAAAAGTGGTTAGTTCGCGTAAAGATACACTTGTCGCACCTCGCCACACTGGCTTGGCTGACACGCTACCCCGTCTGAACAATCTGCTGACATTGCAAAATTAAATTTAATTAACTCTCATTTGTTTTCAGTCGGCGACTGTAGAGAAAGTTGAGAAAGAGAAAGAGCCTGAAGTTAAGACGACACCAGCGCCCTCTCCAGACAGACATGTCAAGGTGAATATAAATTAATGACTAAACAATAAGACACACATATTAAGATATGTAAAATATTAATATCAAAAACGATACAAAGATTGGAACAAAACACATTCAACGATTTAAAACGCAAAAGATATCAGTTAACTTATTTACAATTTATTTTAATTTCGGCCAACATTAAACTTACTTTTTGTTTAAATGTGTACACTGGATAAACGTACAGATAATACTTATTATTTTCTATGGGGACACTGTTACAAGCCGGGTCCAATCACCTTCTACATATTTTACCCAATTCACCGCTACACTCATGAGTAACCCCTCTACACAGACTTTACTTAATTACAAAGAACATTTTTAATTCGGGCCATAAATTATTTATTGGGAATAAATTATTTGGGCCAATAAGTTCTTGAACCCTGAGGTAATAATATTTATTTTGAACCCGTAGGAATCTTCGACTTCAGCTTTAGCTAGCAACACAGCTACGCGGCCGGAGAGACAGAGTGTGCCGCCCTGCAAGCCAAGACCCAGTGCTGCAGGTAACATAATATTACTTTTTTTACCATACAAAGGTACAATAGTTATTTTAAAAGAACAAATCTATATACTGATATACATAGCTGAGGGAGAGTTTGTTTGCCTGTTTGAACGCGCTAATCTCAAACTATTATTACTGGTTCGAATTGAAAAATTATTTTTGTGTTGGTTAGAGCGTTTATTGAGGAAGGCTATAGGCAATAACACATTGCGATAAGGAGCGAAGGCACAGTGGGAAAGTGGAAAACGGTGAAAATTATACAACCTTGTGGTTGTATAATTTTCCAGCGTTGCGTACGCTGCAAAAACGTAAAAAATATGTATGAAAAATGATTAATCCTTAAATGATCCAAAAAATTGTCCGCGACTGAATATGTCTATCTTTTAAGATTAAATTGCAAAAACAACGGGACGCGTACGTTGTTGTGGGTAACAGCTTAACGTTAAGAGTTGAACATGATGTTTGAAAACAAACTTTTGTGCCCAAAATAACTGATGTCTACGCGGACGAAGTCGCAAGTCGCAGATATAAAGGACAAACCATTTATTTATTTTTCAGTGATATCGCCCGTCACTATTCAACTTAAAATAAAGCCTAAGCTATGACATTATTATATTAAACTCTTTAACAATAATATATAAGTATCCTTTTAATTTCTACGTACGGACGCGTTTTTTTTTGTAAGCTGTAAATCCTTATAAAACAATAAATAAATAACATAAAAATACTTTAACGTGTTAAATTGAAAATTATATTGCGCGAGAGGTCGTAGAAATTTAACGTTGTCGCAAAGAGACTTCTATTTAATATTATTCACATATAATGCCATATTTTATATAAAGCAACACGCGATTGACACCGTAGCTCAATTAGTTAGAGCAACAGCTCGGAACGTCGTTGATACCGTTTCGAGGCCCGACTGCGTTGTCCAATGTTTTTCAATAGATTTTTTATTTAAATATTTTAAAATTTTTTATACTTTCTGTACAGGTTCAACGTTGGCTCGTTTACGTGTCGTGACTGCCCCGCCCACATGCGTACAAGAACTTGCGCACGCGTCGCCATCGATCACAGGTACAATTATGTTTCTGTAATGACAATACATCCATTTTGTGTAGTTTACGCGAGTAGTACACATTTAAATAAAAAACTTTAACGATTTAAAACGCGGAATATAATAATCTTGTTTGAAAATTATTTTTAACTACGTCGACGTTGGATACCGTGCAGCCGCCGTGGTCACGGGGCGACTAAAGATGGAGAGTATTCTTTCTAATGTTAATGTAGAAATACGCTACGCTAGCGCCATCTCTTCCGTTCAAAAACCGACTAAGACGAAAGGAACACACTTCATCTTTAGTCTTCCTGTGACAACGGCTGCTGCATAGCATTCGAAACGTCGGGCTGTAGTTAAAAATAATATTTAAACAAGATTATTATAAATATTTCGTGTCTTAAATCGTATCAGTGTTTTATTTAATTAGATCCATTGTGCTATTTTAAATGAGTGTGTGTTTTAGATTGTGTTATTTCCCTTAGGTGAAGCTAGTAGTCCCCGTATAGTAGCTGACGTGGACAGTGTTCATTCAGATACGCACTTTAAACGAGGTAAGTACATTTTATATACATAAAAATATTTTATGTAAAGATCAGCATTGGTATAGTTTTAGATGCCCGCCCTTGTCAAATGTTTAGAGAAGGGATTGAAGACAATGTACTGTTTTCAAACAAATGTTTTAATTTTGACATTATTGCTGTGAACGTATATCAATTGAAAATGTATTATTGATTTAAATATGATGATATCTTAGAATTCGTGTAGTACAATATAACGCCTGAGTGGCTTTTGTAACGCGTAGCATTTTTACGATAAAGAAGAACAGACAAAGGAGTTGATGAAAGGTGAAATACCCCAGCTATATAACTTTTTGACAAGATGCGCTGTCGGCCTATTTTTGCTTTGCTTATTCGAAAATCCACAGACTGAAAACGTAACACGATCAAACGGCCTTTGTGGCAGGTGATTTTCGACTCGGACTAAATTTCGATATTTCTATTTAAAATCCATATTTCCAGGTGAAGTCAAACAGTCCACGAAACTATAATGCGATTAAAAAAATGTTGACCTGGTGGGAATTGAACCCACGGCCTATTTACCAACGACCTCGTCAAGCATTGCGTTAAGTGGGGGGTGTTTAGTCAAATCGTGCGAAATAGTTTTTATATAAGTTACAGTTCCACACACCCAGTAACTTACGTATTTAATTTTACAAGGTGGTAGACGTGGTAGGGGTGGCACCCGCGGTGAGCAGAGCTACACCCAGTTCGCGGTGATGGAAGACGAGAACGTCTCCGCCCTGCAACAAGTTACGAAGGGGGGAGCCCTGACGCTCGTGTCACTGTGGAAGTCCCAGTTCGACGATTCGTCTGAAACCACAGATAACGAGTGGAAACATGAGCATGCGCAGGTATCTTGTAATCTGTAAAACTAGCTTAAGCAACTTCATCATCTACTAAAAATTGTAACATGTACAAACCCAATTTGTTCAGTATTAGAATGATTAAAACAAATATCGTTATTGAGGCGATCTTTAGGAATGTAAAATTTACTTGTAAATTGTTTATCTATACTGATATATTCTATAAAGATGCAGAGTTTGTTTCTTTGTTTGAATTAATCTCAGCAATTACTGGAAAAAATCTTATCATGTTGGTTAGAGCATTTATCAAGGAAGGCTTTAGGCTATAAACATAAGGCGAAGAAACAGTGGAAAATGTAAAAAATGGGGGTAAATTTTTTATGTTTGAGGGTTTCCGTTGCGTGCTCTGCGAGAACGGATTAAGGTACTCATAAAATACTTATGTTTAAAAGAATGGTTCCTATTTGAATGGTCTGAACAATGACCAAGATAGTATATTTCTATCTTTTAAGATTTGTAATCAAGAACGACAGTTCACAAACGATGTCGTTGGTCAACATAACTATAATTTATAAGGATGAAGAGGTATGAAAAACCAAAATATAATATCAGTACTATGACAATTTTCTTTCAAACAGTCACCAGAACACCGTCAACGCGCCTCGGCCGTGTCATCGTCGAGCAAGGAGCCGCGGTCTCAACTGCCCCTCACTCACACATCGCAGCATCATACACACACGCAGCCAACGCAGCAAACGCAGCAAACACAACCCACGCAGCAGACGCAACCCACGCAAATCAGCGTACTAGTGCCCAGTGTTAAGGACATGAAGCTCTCGCCTACGAATCAGCCGGTTAGTGTGTTTGTTTTATTGCTGTATTTTCTATAAGTTTAATTTTCCCGCTAAAAATGTTTCTAAGACATACAAGTCACAACACGGTGTTATGCCCTTTGGTTTTAAACATGATGCGCTATGGAGCTATTTGGAGCTAAGGTGATTGGATGGAATTTTGATATATTGTACCACCCCTTTAATATCCAATTTCAGACGAAGTCCGACATTTTTCAAAAAAACTATAAATTTTTAGAATCCACCCCTGTGATTATGAGTCATAAGTTTCACTAATACCATACATCTTGAAGTTACATAAATAAGTTTAAATAGAATGTAGAATACAAAGTAAAAAAGGGTTATTATTAGGTAAATAAATTTTAAACAATAACCTTTTGGGGTTTATAATAACAAGAAAAATTTATAAGAGGAGTGGCGGCAAGTTGATTGCCAATTCTTTTCGTTCCTACTACTTTCTTAATTTGAAGGCTGGTAGTAAATGTAAATGTTGATTTTTTTTTAATTTTAAACTGTAATGTACACAAGTGTACTTAATATTTAGAATGAAAAATATAATTCTTGTGGTAGGTATCTTAGTTTTATCAATCTCAACAGGCGGAGAAACCAGAACAGCCAGAACGCGACGCGGAAAAGGTGGAAACTGTCGAAAAGACCCGTCTGGCTCGCTGCTGTTTGCATAGTGCCGGTGTCGAGAGATTCCCACGCGTTGTTCCCGTTCTGCCCCGGAGTTGGTCCCTGCCCGCTATCGGTGCGTTGAGATAGATCGCTTTATACTTTCACTATACGGGTTCGCTTTCCGCTTAAGAATGTTTTATAGAATCTTTAAGCTTTTTAATTGAATTATATTGGTTTTATCTAATTCGTAAATATTGGCATGTAAGTAGTGTACTTGTATTCTGCTTTGAATCTTCTAAATGTTGTACAGGTGTTGCCGTAAGCGGTTGCTTTTATCTCTTTAATGTCAATCATTTTTGAAACAGGTGACTGTAGTTTTGTAATTACAACGATAGGTGTCAGTATAATCAATACGAAATGTTAAACTCTCGAATAATTATTTATGTTTAATAAATATGTTGATCTCGTGACAACTTTTTTATTTCACTGCTTAGTTAAGCCCCTATACATAGACTAGGCCTAGCAGTAGTTTAGGGCAAGTATTATTTTATTTTAGAACACCATGGAAGGTTTCACTATTTACTGAACTATATTTTTAAACTGGCGCCTGTGTCAACCCCAACAAAATATATACAACACATATTTGGTACTTTTACAAATATTTTGAAACAAAACAAACAATGCCATATTGTTAATCATCTAAAGATTTTAACACATTCAGGATATACTTAGACACGGTTAGTGATTGTTTTAGGAAGCCAAAATGGTCTCTATTTCAATGTGTCGTATGCCACAGGTTCCCATGTTCGCGATATTCGGCCGCCGCTGCTGCAACAAGCATCGTTCGACGATGGAACTGGTGCTGCGCTGCGATACCGTGTCGACGTGATGCGCGGTGTTGCGGCGAGGTTTGAACCCCACGACCCCTCGCCGCCGAAGCTAGTCAGGCATAAGAGTCTGCCGGTTAGTCTATTTCATTTGCTTTATGCTGTCCTAGTACTACTTGTTTTTCCCGCTCGAAGAATGTCTTATAGAAGTAGTAAGTAGGCTATTGTAGTTATTAATTTTAAATTGAAACCTACTATAAACAATAATAGTATCTAGAAAACAAAGGTGGTATTGTTATAGCAGAGTACCAGACCGTAATAACTTACTCGGAGCTTAATTTCTAGAGCGTATCGCGGTCGAGTACCTCTCCACCGCCCGTAGCACCTACTCCAGCAGTAGTGGCTCCTGCACCACGTGAATCCACTGTATCCAGTCGCCTAGAGATAAGAGTGAGACAGACTGACAACGCTTCGCCTTTACATTCCGGTTTGTAAACACATCACGCTTACCTTTACATAAATAAACTAAATTTACTTTTTAATATATTCGGTTTATCCTTTAAAATTGATAAATATGGTCCTTTGAGCCGGATATACGGTATATTTCGTTTACAGTAGATGATTTTTTTTTAGACATATCAAATATTATTGTTGAATTGAAAATTTGTAATCATACTAATTGTGTAATCCAGTGCGCATTCAGTCTGTGGTTTGCGGCGCCGGCGCAGAAGGCGCTCGTGTTAACCACGAGGAGGCATCCGTGTACTACGACGCCACAGAACATCACCGGGACAAACGGTGCGTAACTTTAATAGGTTCAAAGTGTATACTTGATTTAAGGAAATCAAGATCTATGTTTTACTAGAAGTCTGTTGTCTCGATTCCAGGTCGTCGACACGCAGCGCGGAGAAGAGTCACAGTCCAGCTGTCGAGAGATCGAGACTAGATGCTATACATGACAGGTGAAGGCACGATTTCTATATATGCTTATACAGTACTAGGCTTTTAAGTTGCTATTTTACTTCGTCATGATAATATTAAACTAGCTGTATCCGCTATTTCGTCCGCCTGGAATTTTGGGCATCATATTATTGCAAACAAACACCTCAGCTTTATAAAATATAATATATGTCTTCTCACGACGTCGTCTCCGTCTCTTCGTTCTTGCAAGTCAATCTTGAAAGGCCATAGACTGTCGTGGACATTTTTTTAGATTACTTAAAGAGGGATCATTTCTTCATACATATTTTTTGGTTTCTTAAACCCTCCTAGATGAATAAATATTCCCTTTTTTTTTTTCAACATGTGCCACTGTTTCTTCGCACTATGATGTTATATGTATATCCAAAGCCTTCGTCGATAATTGGTCTACTTAACATAAAAATATTTTTCAATTCGAACCTGTAGTTCCTGAGATTAGCGCGTTCAAACAAAACAAACTCTTCGGCTTTATAATATTTGTATAGATTTAGACGCCGAAAGTTTGAAATTAGAGGTTTTAATTTTCATTCCCAATTTCTTAAGCTCGAAGCAATTAAAGGAAGCATAGTAAATGACATTGAAAATTATATTTCAGAAGCAGTTCAGTTCGGCGCGACGCAAGCGCAGCTGGGGATGCCTCAAGCCTTAGAGACGTATGTATTATAATTATAAGTAAATGCGATATAGATAGAAGTTGATTTGAGGGGCTTGTTGCTCTACTTTCAAGAAGTTTTTGATTGATAAAACACTTGAACGATTTAAAACGCGATATATTAGTTAAACTTATTTGAATATGATTTTTAACTTCGGCCCGACGTTTCGGATGCTTTGCAGCAGCAGGTCACGGGGAGACTGCTGAAGTTAAAAATCATCTTCAAATAAGTTTAACTAATATATCGCGTTTTAAACCGTTACAGTGTTTTATTTAAATGTGTACTACTCGCGTTAACTATAGACAGTATTTGAGTTTTTAATTGGTTTATGTTTTTCTGAAACATATTTCACTTCGCCTGGAAATCTACATGATAAATGGGTAATAGGAACCTCACAAATTGAATTGCGGGGAAACAAGAGAGTGTTTCGGGTAGGACACAAGTCTGATTAACTACTTGCTTGTAAATAAAACCGATTAGTTGAACGGATACAGAAGTTGTTGACTCTTTTTAATTAGAGAGAAATCTTATATAATTTCAATGTATTATAGTGTATTATTAGTGAGTATATATATAAAGCCGTTATCCAAAATTTTACAAAAAGTATAATGTCAGTCGTACGGTCGATGTGTTTTGTAATCGTGACAAAAAAATAATAGGGTAATTATCACCATAATTCCTATTTCGATTATCATGATTGATATACGCTGTTAGATCAAGCAGTCTAAGAGCTAAATGAAATTATATTTTTTATTTACTCTTCGAAAAAAATAATACCAATTGTTTATAGTTTACGCGAGTGGTACACATTTAAATAAAACACTTTAACGGTTTAAAACGCGATATATTGGTTAAACTTATTTGAAAATTATTATTAACTTCGGCCCGACGTTTCGGATGCTTTGCAGCAGCCGTGGTCACGCGAGACAACGTCGAGCCGAAGTTAAAAAGCATTTTCAAATAGGTTTAACTAATATATCGCGTTTTAAACCGTTACAGTGTTTTATTTAAATATCAATTGTGCCAAACAATTGACATTATAGCATAATTATAACTCTACTATTTTATAACATACAAAAGTTTACCCAATCAAAGTTGCAGTTTTCATTACAAAAATGCTTATTCGCGCCTCACATTTGCATTATAGTACTGGAACCTTAATTGTTAAACTTTCCTACTGTTGCAATATGTACATAAGTTTTTTAGTCACTCATATAGTAGATAATTATTGACAGACTCGATGGTCGTTTGACCGTTTTGTAGCAATGTATGGCTGATAAACAACAGATCTTGGGTAAGATCCTCATCAGGTCTAACATGTTTATTAATTTTTCTGAAACATGTTGGACATCGTCTGGAAATCTGGATATTAATTGGGTTGGTATATCAAAACGCCGTCCGGGTTACGAACCACCGTTCACAGACGAAGCCAAGAAGTTTTATCGCATTTCGGTTGCAGTCTGTATTTCCGAATATCCAAAGCTAAAATAGACAGCGCGTCTTGCTTAGATGTTATATTTCTGGGATATTACACTTAGCATCAAGTGGATCCAATACTTTTTGTATATCCTCTATCATAAAAAAATGTTGTCAGCTCTCAAACTTTATCACTTGGACTATTTCGTATATAAAACAACGGTATTGACTAACGAAGCATTTCTACTGAAAACCTACAACATGTGGTTCTTACTTTTCGCCACTCTGTCCACCGCCACGGCCCAAGTGCAGCTTATAAACGGCACAATTAAACTCGAGATCGGCCTAACATCGCGATGCAACGACGCGCACAATTTCATCCACACCTTTTCCCCAATCTATGAAAAATACCGTCAATTCTTGGAGGTCGATTTCGTCCCCTGGGGCCGGACTAGACGTCTCGCGAACGGCCTGGACTGCCAATTCGGTGTTCAGGACTGCTGGGCGAACCGTGTCCACAGATGCGTGCTGAGCAGACTAAACGACCAGGATTCGGTCATGAAGTACATGGTTTGTGAGTTCACACGCCCTCTCCCGGCGTTTTCGGGAAGTTACTCGTGCGTCCAGAAGATGGGTTTGCGTATTGTTGATGTCGACTACTGTGTGTCTACCACTGGTGATGCTTTGGATCGAGAGATGGAGGCCAGAGCGGCTGAAGCCATGAGGGTGATTAACTTCGTCCCTTATTTGGTGATTAATGGTGTGATGGAGCGAGCCCTGTCTGAAACCGCTAGATTGGGGATAGTTGAAGTTATTTGTTCAGCGCTAGCTAAGGATCCGAGCACCGGTGTCATGCTGGAAGAATGTCTTAAATAGAAAACGTGTTGATGTTTGTTGTGTTGTGTTTTCATTTATTTATAAAAAAAATTGCTCATACAATTTTACATTTTTTACCCTTCTACGTTTGGAAACGTTATATTCTTCTGTCGCTAGGGATGTTTGACAAAACATTATTTTAAATAAACGGCGTTGTTTGTTGTAGAGTTGTACAATAGTTAATAATGGAAACGGGAAAAAATATTTCATATTTATTTATTTAAGAGGCCGACAAACTGCTTCAGTGCGTTGGTGGGTTTCAATATTTGTGTCATATGATATGATAAGACCACTTGATTATTAGCAATGCATTCTTACAATTACACCAACAATCCCCAATGACAGTAATGATATCTGAAACCGCCGGCTTAACGCGCCCATCGAGACACGGGCGCGATCACACCTATTACAACCTAAATCCGGTCTAGCTTAAGCAGTGTCTTTTGATTAACATTTCGCCCGATCCAGAATTCAAACCTGGAACTCCGCGATCGGCAATCACGCGCACGAAATCTTTTACGTATTTTAATAGGAAACATGTTTTTAAGTTAGAGTTTGAAGTGTTAAGTGTAAAGGTCCTTATAAAATACTGTCTATAGTTTACGCGAGTAGTACACTTTTAAATAAAATACTTTAACGGTTTAAAACGCGATATATTAGTTAAACTTATTTGAAAATGATTTTGAACTTCGGCCCGACGTTTCGGATGCTTTGCAGCAGCCGTGAGTCTCCCCGTGACCACGGCTACGGCGGTAAGTTTAACTAATATATCGCGTTTTAAACCGTTAAAGTGTTTTATTTAAAAGGTCCTTAAAATTTCATAAGATTTGAATCTTGAGATACCTGGTCACGTCTTGCTTTTGTTTTCTATTCGCTGATATCATCTTTTATTTAATTTTACAATCGACATGACTGTAAGATTCCCAGATAAAACGACACGATGAGTTATGTATATTCATAGCAAAAAATAAGTTGGACGCGCATATTGTACGGATGTTATAAGGCTGGGGATTTTTTCTTCCATCGAGTGAACCCATGGTTTATCTGCCCACCTCAATTTAATGTACTATGGTACTAAATACTGTCTATAGTTTACGCGAGTAGTACACATTCAAAAAAATCATTTCCAAATAAGTTTAACTAATATATCGCGTTTTAAACCGTTAAAGTGTTTTATTTAAATACTATGGTACTACTTGTCGATTGTACTATTGGTATTTTCAGAATTACAAGTTTTCTTCTAAAAATAGATATACTATAGAAGACTAAGAATTACTGTTTTTTTTTATTACATAGCACATTTGATTCTGTTTTACGAATTAAAAAACCTACATAGAAAATTAGTCAATGACACTTATAAGCCTCGAACCCACATCCTCGACGTTTCATGTTGTTGCTTTTACCAATTGTGTTGGTGTCCTAATTATTTAATCCATTTATGCAAGTGCACAACTCTAGTACTTTATTCTTAACCTTAACACGGTCTGGGATTCAATTCTTGCCCGTGTAATTTGAATTTACTCAATCGAGATACTGAATCCAAATGTACAATATTTAATATGGTAACATTTTAGCCAATGTTATTCATTGCTTTAAAAACAATATTCCTAAGTTATGCGTCTTCTTTAAACTAGAATATACTTTTTCACATTTATATTATCGACTTTTGTTTTAACTACGATGACATTTCAATGTTTTTAGATAAACTGTAAAGACCACACAAATGATCAAATATATTTCGCGTTTCAAACCGTTAAGGGTATTTTCCAGTCCTCTATTGACATAGTAAAACATAGCATCTTTAACTGATTTGTTCAAAAAACCTTTACTTTATTCATCAATGCAATTGATTAAATTTTACAAGCTTTTATCCCTGAGTTAGGGTCGTCAGCCAGGGCGAAACAAATCACGCTCTCCAGCCTCTCTCTCGCTTGTACCGAAACGTCTCTATTCACTATGCCATTTATCACCGTGTAGGGAATGGATCCGAATGTATTTATCGCCTCGGTGGCAGCGGACTCGGCTGCTACCGCCAGTCGATCTCCTGAAAATAATATGGTAAATATCGCAGTTATGTAGTAAAAGTAAGAAATAAAATTAGGGTAACTTTGGCCTCTAATAGGTTCTTATTTAGCATTCATAAGACACATACACGCACACTTTCTACCTTTTCACACACACTTACTTTTCACACACTTACCTACTACTCCTTACACACACAGTATCTTCGTACCTTTTACACGAACAATTCCTACTATTTAAACACACTCTTCCTATCTTTTCACACACACTTACTTGCTACCTTTTACACACACACCCGGCCTTCTACCTCTCTTTTACCCATGGCTTGTGCATAAACATACCTGCTTCTGTTGCCATACAGTTGTCAACTTCGATAAGACGCAGACCAACATCTCTAGCGCATTGGTAACTCCCGTTATATCCCGGCTTGGGAGTTGTAAACTCGCAGACCATGTATCGCACCATCGCTGCCGGGTCATCCTTCAATAAGTCGATGGCACATCGGTGTAAACGGTTCGCCCAGCAGTCGCGCTTTCCAAACTGACATTCTAGTTCGCCGTTTTCAGTTCTAAGAATAAGTTAAACATTTATAAAGAAATCGCTTTAAAATTATTTTCAACCATCAGATTAAAATCGATATTAAATTAAAAAACGACACGGGCAGGACTTGAACCGGCATCCTCAGCGTTGCGTGCTGTTGCTCTAACCAATTGAGCTATACGTCATCGTCGATCTTTTTCAAGCTATTGACACATGTACCTCTCGCGCGATGTAATTTCAACCTTAACACTTAGTTATTAACATGTTAAAAATATTAAAGTTGTCAAATATAACAAGTCTTAATAGCAAAATGGCTTGTACCTTCTAGTCTTCCCCCATGGTACGAATTCGATGTCCAAAAATTGACCATACTTGGCGAAAACTGGTCCGACACTCTCCGTTATATATCTAGCCACAAACGGACATCCGGCTGTTCCGCCGATTTGCACCCTGATCTTGCCGTTCACAGGTTGAACTTGGCTATAAGAAGCACTTAAAAGTGACAGAAATAATCCGAAGTGTAACAACGACATTCTTGGACACCCAACAGGCAATGAGGCTTATCGAATGATTGTAAAACCGATAAGATACTGCCGTATTTAGTAGTCGATAAAATTAATTGGTAATGATAAATTATGCTAACAGGTTTGTCCTTCTTAAATTAGTAGTTGATTATATTGTAGAAATTAAAAATATGACCCGATGCTTCCTCTTCATCATTTTGAGAACGTATGGTACAGTTCAACCCGGGTGCTCCAACGAAGGTGGCCTAACAAACACTATGCTTGCTCGAAAGCATTTTTAATGGTAAAGGAGGTGAGACAAGCAAAATTAAGATTTCAACATGGTGGTGTTGACCTATTTAGCCTTGGATGTTCGGAAATTCAGAGAACTGAAAACGAAACGCCATTTAAATTCAGGATTTTTTTCAGCGGAACGGATTTGCGATATTTTTACCACGCATTTAATTTAAATAAAACACTTTAAACGGTTTAAAATGCGATATATTAGTTAAACTTATTTGAAAATGATTTTTAATTTCGGCTCGACGTTTCGGATGCTTTGCAGCAGCCGCGGTCACGGTCACGTCCCCTTGACCCCTCTCAAATAAGTTTGACTAATATATCGCGTTTTAAACCGTTAAAGTGTTTTATTTAAATGTGTACTACTCGCGTAAACTATAGACAGTACCCATCTAATGTCCAGATTTCCAGATATGGTCCACCACCTCATTTCAGAAAAATATATAAATTGATTAGAAACATATTGTACCTGGTGGGATGGGGGGGGGGGGGTGTGTGTGAGATCGAATCTAAGACCCGTTGAATATTAGCTGTACATTGCAACCATGTCACCAACGAGCCCGTCTGGTGTTAATTTTCTACCTCATAAAAAACTAGGTCATTGTATATTCAAGGCTGTAGTTTACGCTAGAATTAATAATACAACGTTCAACGGTTTAAAACGCGAAGTATCATAAATCCTTCACTCCGCCTTTAAAAAAAGGACGTTTTGATAACATTGCTATGTTTCATTGCAGAGGTCTGTGGGCAGCGGATCGCGGATCCCAGTGGCTCGTGTCGTGAGTGGCTCCGAGCATAGACTCGCGAAATGCGCTTCGTGGAGCGGTGACCAGGACCAGTGTCGGCACACGGTTGACGATTTGACGCCCGGTAAGTAATATATAACTCTGAAAGGGTCTCTCGAGGAAAATATCTTTCACTGCCACAAAAGTCGCTATCGATTATACAATTTTAGGAAATATATACAAAATACCAAAAATATTGTGTTGTATTCACATAGTCTCAGCCATCTTATGGTCCTGTAAGGGTAAACTTTAGTGTCATACTCGCATATTTAATGATGCTTTTGTTTGTTCCTCCTTGATCGCCTCTGTAGCTAAATGGTTTAACGTATCGCTTAGCATTGCGTTAAGCGCGAGTGGTCCTGGGTTCGAATCCTGGGGAAACAGTAAAATGTTTCGGTCGGGCAGGACACAGAAGTCTGTTCACCTATTTGACTGTAAATAAAACCGATCAGTGAAACGGGCACAAAAATGTGTTCGCCCTATGCCCCACGGAACGAGGAAACGAGATTTCACTACTTTTTTGTATTTGGACCAAGGACTCCTTCAAAACCAAATTCAAAAAACATTTATTCATGTAGGTTGTTAGGAACACTTATGAACGTCAATACAGTTAAAAATTAAACTCTACATTTACTACCAGTCCCCTAATTAAGGGCGAGTGATGGCGAGTTTCTTGCCAGCTCTTGTTCTTGGCTCGTAATTTGAGAACTTGGCAATTAATGTAAATTTAGAGTCTTTTTTTTGTTTGTTTCGCTGTTTATAAGTGTATCTAGTTAACTACATGAACACTACAGTCACAGTGGATCTCTTATTATTTAATATTAATCATTTCAGCGTTGCGCCGTCGCCGACAAAATGCGGATAAGTACGCCGTGGACCCTGCTCGGGAACTTAACCTGCGTTTCGCGAGACCTAGGCACAGACAGACAACACAACCTGTTACAAAGTGAGTTCGTATTCTAATAATTAACTAGCTTTGCCCGCCCCGCCCGACTTCGTCCGCGTGGATGACTTATTTTGATCTTGATATTATTTTTGCAAACTACCTCCTCAGCTTTTATAACTTATAGTTAAAAGATACACGCCAACTGTCGTAGAGTTTTTTTTATCATTTAAATAATATAATAAATTTTGTGGTTTCTTAAACCATTTTAGCTGCGCAAGCAAAGTAAGTTCTGAAAGGTGTGTCTTCGCTCATGTTGGTCCCAGCTTGATGTTAAAACGCCTAAATGGCCTAAAGCCTTTCAATTCGAACCAGTAGTTCCTGAGATGAGCGCGTTCAAACAAGCAAACTCCTAAGCTTTATATTAGATTTATTCGTTCATTGATTAAGTTTTGGTTCATATGTTATAGTTCTAGTGCGGTCCGAGCGGGTTCCAGTGGATCAGGGTCGTCATCATCAGGCTCCCCTCCGCCAGCTCCTCCCCCTGGGGCACCCCCCGCCCCACCACCAGCGCCCCCTGCAGCCCCTCATAACAACGCCGCTAGGGCTAGGCGCTTCAGACCGCTCTCCATAGCACCGTAGCTCAGTTAGTAAGTTTCATTTGTACACTGTCATTGTTCAGTGGTTTAGAGCGCAAGAAGTTTCGGGTTGAAATTCCGGAAAACAAATTCTATTGTAACGCTCAGAAATGTAAAACGCCAATCAGTAGAATTAAAATTTCTTAGTGACATAGGGACTGGAATGTAATCAAAGACAAGGGTAGTAGAAGGTAGAAGTCCCAATAATGCTCGATCGCTGAAAAGCAACACCAACGTCGAGTTAAATAATAATATCATTAAAAAGTACAATAAAGGTTGTTTAATACATTAAATATTAAATTTTTCTATCCCCACTTCATTTGTGGCATCAACTTTGCTCTATAAAAAGACTTTATGGTTTAAAATCGGCCATATTTGTGGTCTTTTGCCAAGTTAGAAAAAATACCCTATAGATGTACATTTAATGTGCATTTTCTTTTCAGGATCTGACGAGCAAGTCTGACATCAATTGAACGAATGTACCTCACGTAAATATATGATTACATTATATTACAACGGACTATGAACGTAGTCGAATTGTGTTAGAGCAATGAGATGTATAAAATACTGGGCAGTGTAAAGTTCAAATGTTCCCATTGACGCAAGCATAGTTTATTTTGTGGTTTTCAAAGTGAATCTATAATGGCTATCGCATGACACTACTATAAAGATGGAGATCGTCGAAACTAATACACAAATATATATTTTAAGTTATATGTCAAGATTTTTAATGATGTTGCAATAAAAAAAAATAGATGGTAGTCTACCAAAATTACATCTTTAACAGTCAACATTAATAGTTGGGTTGATATTAAATGCGTGGTAGAAAACCGTCTACAGATGTAAAAGCCGTTAAGCTTAATCGCGTTTCGGTTGCAGTCTGGACTTCCAAAAACCCAAAATAGGTCGATAGCGCATCTTGTTTAGACGCTTATCTGTCCTCGTATTTCAAAAAAAAAAATCAAGAGTTTTTTAAATTTTATTTTTATCGAATTGAAAAAGTGATGGGGTTTAGAGTCGATAATGATGAATTAGACGCATAAATAAACTCCAAGTCTAATGATTGGCACAATAAATAAAAAAAAACACTTTTAATTGCTAAATAATTCTAGTTTTATCACGAAGCGTTAATTGTTAAATATTTTTCCAAATTGTCTGTAACCTAAAATGCTATTTTAAACCTTATTGTGATTGCAATACGTGCGATAATGTAATGTAGGTATAACAAAGTTAATATTTAACGAATTACGAAGTATCCAGGTAAATATGGAGATGAAGTTATCGTTGTCCGTAATTTATATACATTGTACCATTCAACTTTTGGGGACAATAGGAACTTAGTAAAGTATTTTCTGCCCTTGTATACCCATAGGAACATGACAGTTCAAAATAAAGTAGCATGACAGCTACAATGACATAAAATTCTATCAATATCTGTCAAGCCTTCGGAGCGCAAAGTAAATGGATTTTACTGTATTATGTATTTTTTTCAAAAGTTAAATACATATAACGTATTGAAAGATCGGAATACAGGCTTGTAAATAATTGGTTCGAAAGTTATACCTACAATTCGAGATAAACTTTGTATTTTAAGGCCCAATTTAACTGATAATTGTTTGTTAACGGCTGTCCAAATCTTTAAAAAAATTTGCCTCGAATCTCGGTTGACGGTCATTTAACCAAACATTAAATCGGGTCTAATACGTAACTGTTTACATATCCCTGTTAAATATTACTCGGCGCGCGCGCTCTTGCGTTGAATCACACATTTTGACATTGTACGCTCGGTTGCGGTATACCTTATTTTGAGATCTCTTAGGATTTTCGCCTTCGTCACCCTTAGATAAGAACCCTTCTACGGTTTGCGAGCTTGGTTATTCTAAAAAAAATTGAAATCACAAAAAAAACTTCTTCGGTAGTGTAAATACGAACGTCGAACGAAATTTTTGAAAGGATTGTCGACGTTCGTGCATACAGACCTCATTTATTTAAGGTTATAAAATTATAAAATTTTCCACTTTGTCGACACGAGTTGTAAGTTGAAAGTTAATGCTGTATAGTTATGTTCTCGATGTAAACATTTTCTAGGTATACTAAGCCATATAAAGACGTCTCGATTTGTGGTTCTTGTCAGTTTGGGCGGGTTGAATCTATAAGGTCCTTTCATGCAGAGTGAACGATGGCGCGCCATGACGTTCTTGAAACTTGAGGCTTTATTCGACTAAGACTTTGGGCGGGTTGTATCATCGTTGGCACTGATATTTCTAACTAAAGCGTTGTTAATAAAAAAGTTTTAACGGCCGGTTTATAAAAAAAATATTCCGTTACATTAACCGACAGATTGAAACAACCCACCCGTAATGCTCACTATTTTTATTTGCTTAATATAAATTAATTCGATTAGTTTACGCGAGTATTCAATTGTAATAATTTAAACGGATTTAAATATGATTTATTAAGGTATTTTAAGTATGACTCGGCATGTCTTTTTGCGGCGTTACTTTTATAATTAGTCATGATGTATTTTTGTCTTTATAATTTTAACTTATTGTGAGTATACGACCAGCTAGTGCTATGTTGGTGCGGCGAGGTGCCTTCCTCCGTTCTATGTGACCTTAGGCATGTGTGCCAGTTTCACTTATCGATAGTTTGTACGTTAAAAGCTCATTACTATTTATTCCTTAAAAATTGAGATCTATATTTTGTAATTAGCTGTACTAGAGATGTGAAACGAGTTTTCACTGGTGCAGTATAACGAGCAATATGTAAGTTGTATTTTAATATTGATGTCTGTTGATCAGTTTTCCTCCAGTTTTAGCTCAAGACAGCTTAATTAGCATATAGTTGCGCGCATAATAAGTTCCCATAAGCTTGGATTCTGCTGAATTTGAATGGAAAATTAATTAAGTTTTGGTAAGTCGAAAAGAAAACTTCCAGAACCTGTTTTAATTAATTATTAAAAATATCGTTGACGCTTTCAAATCGATTACTTTATATCTACGTAATATATACTAATAGTTATATGTATTTATAAAAATAGCTAGATGCCAAGTAAACGCTATTTTTCAACAGCATTACAATGTGATCGATGACGGAAATATGTTTTTGTCTTTGTTATAATGTATTCGTTACGTCAAGATAGGGGTGATTACGATAACGTTTGTTAGTATTCGTGATAGATAGAACGGTGAAATAATATAAGAATATAGCATATGTTTGCGAAAAGTACTAGTATCGGTATTCGCATCGCAAACGTTACTACGTACATTTATCGACATGTGTGAACATCACTCACTATAATGGCTGTTTATGGAGCGATTCTCGTATCGTAATTACAGTTTTGTATGACGTATATTATGTCATTTAGTTGAGAGTCGCCCCCATCCTGTAACGGCGTGAAAGAGTTAAAGATTGTATATAATGTGGCGCAATTACCAAATAGATGGCCCAGCCCTATTTCAAACTGAGGGCTGGCATTTTAAAGCGCTTTATTGACGAACGGTTTTAAGCGGGCACAATACTATAAGAGTGGTTATTATATTATGTATATTGTGAACATCTAGAATCGTGTATCAGAAATGGCTGCGACCTCTTTACTCAAATATGTCAGATTTGACATTTGTTCGAAATCATAATGAGTATTGTAGGAACTCAAGGGCGCAATTCGCAACAACGAGATCTACATAATATGAAACTTCATGTTTGAGAATTGCCCCCCTGAGATTTATGGCGCAGGTCACTTGTGACTTTGGATAACGAATAGATTAGAGATGACGTCAAGTTGTACATTTTTCATAATATTTAAATAAATCTTTTTTTTACTGTTAGTGTTGCACATGAATCTCGACGATATTCGGATGTAAGTTTGATGTTCATTTCGCGATCATAACGATAACAACGAGTTTTTTCTTTTCGTCTAATATCTTCGAGTTCTTTACATATGTATAAAATAATATAAATTATTGTAATGTTATGTAGACGCCATTCTATTCTAGTCTGCTGCTTAGTATAGAATAATGTATGTAATAAAATATATCTAGCGGTAAGGTTTATCGGTATTCTTGGGCGGTTTGTGAACTGTCAATGCAGTTTGACAGCTGTCACGGTGACAGCTGTAAAAGCTGCGCAATTGGCGGGTAAAAGAGCTACTTTATTATCGCTCGGGGTCGTCTGCGCATCCCGGAACATTCTAGTCTACGAACAGCTTCCGTCTCATAGATTTATCGATGGCAGATTAAAATTTGGAGACAATTATTTTTGACAGATAAAAAATTATGTATAAAGTTGTTGTTATATACTTAGGTCCTGTTTTAATCGATAAAGACGTTGTCGAGAATGCACGCTAAGTTATGTTTTGTTTTGCGATTTTTTTTTTATATTTACCAAAATATGCACAATGAAATTTAAATAAAAGGTATTTGTCCTTTATTGTTGTTATTTATGCTTAAAACCACAAACGCTTAACCAAATTGGTATTGAAATAAAAGTTTTTTAATATCTACATTATATGACAGGAAACAAAAACACCACTCAAAATGGGATACAATCAGTAGTTCTTACATAATAATTAACACATCAACTTTTAAATATAAGATGACTAAATCTTTAACTTTTACTTAAATCCAGAGAATGTTACAATACAAATGAGACAAGCATATCTTTCTCACTCTCTCTACACTTAATCACACAATCTCAACACGTTATGTATGGTACATGGTGAGTAAGCACTGGCTTATAACTCGCATGTATCGTTCCCATACCGACTTCAGATCCGCTTCCCTGAAAAAAAAAGAAATGTTATTAACTTGATATTAAAAATAAGTCGACGGCTGATTTAAATTAGATGGTGCAGCGAACTTGTCTAACGATTGCCCTCCATCAAAAATAAAAGTGCCGTGGTTAAAATTATTTTCAAATAAGTTTAACTAATATATATCGCGTATTAAACCGTTAAAATGTTATTTAAAAATCTTACAATGAATTTACCTTAGCACATCCATTTGTAGTGCGCATTGCTCGTAAGCGCATAGAAATTGAGTGAGGTCCGTTTTGGGCCAGCCGCCCATGCGCAGCGGTTCTACACACCTGAAATAAAATATTAGACCGAATTGTAAGGTATCTTTAAAATAATATTACCAACAAGGGGGGGGGGATGTCAACACCCTTCTTTGGGATTTGTGTGTGTGTTTTATTATTCACTAACCTCTCTAGCAGATCCACAAATAGAGAGCGTAGTTCTCTGGCGCGGTGCAAATTACAGGCAACACCAACGAGAGCGCGTGTATATAATCTGTAAGTAATATTGTGATTTATATACTGTCTGTAGTTTTCGCGAGTACACATTTAAATAAAACACTTAACGGTTCGAAACGCGATATATACGGCCGGCCTGAAGTTATCAAATACTTGGAATCCCATATAAAAAACTCTGGATTCCAAAAAACAGCTAACGCGAAGACATCAGAGACACCCTCCATCTTTAGTCTCCCCGTGACCACGGCTGCTGCAAAGCATCCGAAACGTAGGGCCGAAGTTAAAAACATTGTCAAATAAGTTTAACTAATATATCGCGTTTTAAACCATTAAAGTGTTTTATTTAAATGTTGTGCTTTATTGTTTTTGCGACTTTTTCATGACTTTATCAGCAATTTCTTGATGAATTAAAGTATTTTTACCTAAAATTCAACTCCAGCTCTTGATAGGATTTCTCTAGAACTTTCGGTTTCAGTCGCATGCAGATCAAACTGAAAGTGAGTATGTGACAATGTAAATTAAAAATCAATTTTAGATTGATAAAAAAATTACGACATGTTCAGATCTTAAACGGCATCCTCAGCGTTCCATGCTGTTGCTCTAATCTAATCATCTCGCGCGATGTAAGTTCAACCTTAACACTTGCGAATAAGGTTCAACGTCTTACGCCTTGCAGCTTGATTATTATAATATTAACTTATAATGCCAATACGTTTAAGGAGGCTTTCTTTTAGTATCCGGGGCAACAATAGATTCTTTCGGTCGGGCAGGGCATTGAGGTCTGAACAACTCTGTAAATAAAACCGATCAGTGAAATGAACAGTGAAATGTAAATGTGGTCGCCCCTTGCCCCACAGGGGGAAACGATCACACAATTTTATTGTTCGTCTATTTAATTACTGGTCATAGATATATACTAATATATAAAGCTGAACAGTTTGTTTGTTGTCGCGCTAATCCCAGGAACTTCTGGTACGATTTTAAAAATTTTAAAATATTTAAGGATTAGTAAGTACATACTGCTTATGTTCTTTCTCTTTTTCGAGTAAAATCCTCAAATCACGAAGTTCGAGTAAAAACTCCCTGTCCATCTCGGTGTCATAATATTCCGGGCCTGTACAGCTGTATGTCCAGCCGGATTGTATTGCGCGGGCGCACTAAAATTAAATATGAAAAGTAATCTCAGGAATGGACTTCCTGCGGTTTGAATCGGATAAATACTTTTGTGTTGGTCAGACCATTTATTGAAGAAGCCTTTAGGCTATATGACATCACGCTGCGACCAATAATGCGATGAAACAGTTGGAAATATTGAGGAAACGAAATTATTCATATTTGAGGGCTTCCATTGTTCGCAAAACGGTTCAAGTTAGCGAAAAACATTTTCGAAACTTTTATTCTTCTTTAAATAATCTAAAAAAATGTCGGCGACGGTCTATCGTTTAAGATTAACTACTACAAATCGTTTTTATGGAAATAAAATTTAGCCGAACTAGCTAACCCGGCAAACATTCTTTTAGCATACAAAAGAACATTTTCCAAGTAAGCTTGCCCTAAAAAAACACCATACACCTTCTACTGACCTGGTACAAGTCCGTGAACGAAAGATATTGGAGTTTCCGTTTGTTCGTCTCGAATCGCATACAGGCTAGGAACACGACTGCACCATATTTCCTAGCGAGTCGCTCTGATAGCAAGAACGTCGCCCGGATGTTACTTTCCACAGAACCAGGCATTTCTTCAACCGCTTTGAAGACCCGGCGTACATTGTCGAACTGGCGGCGACAGCAACGCAATGGTGCGCCTGACCTCTCTGAAACCTTTAAGATAGTTATATATGTGATGAGTATACCGAACATCTAGAAGACCCAGACTAGGAAAACACCAGAGTATTTTCCTATATGATAATTCTATATTAATATTATAAAGTTAAAGAGTTTGTTTTTTGAACTCACTAATCTCTCAATGATTGCCTAGTTCGAAGTCAAAAACTTCTTTTTTTCGGTTAGAGCATTTATCAAGGATCAAATCCTGCCTGCATAAACATCAAATTTATGCAGGCTTTAGAGTTTAGGCTATAAAACATGATGCTGTGACCAATAGGAGCAAAGAAACAGTGGTTATGTCTTTAATATATATATATAAACGATATACTTGATAATTAATAGTGGCCAATGCACTCTAAAATATAAGTTACCTCATCGAGATCCTTTCTATGTCTGGAAGATAGTTTTCTGCCAAGTAATTCCCGTATCACAGCATCGTCCAATTCATAGTACCTACATTAAAACTAGAATTACAAACTGTATTGTGCAAATAATAATAAATAATTAAAAAAAATAAATATTAAATAGAACAATATTAACATTTTGAAATGCAAATTATGTTAACTTATTCATAATTTATTCCAACAACGACTCAATTATCTTTACAGCACAGATAGCTGTAGTGAGTCCTGGCCATGGCGGTTTTATTTAAACTAGAAAAAAAAAATGGTAACTTTTCTTACTTCTCAATAAGCATCTGCTTGGTTGGTTCATCAATTTGAAATATCATCTGCTCTGAAAGCTTTGCTGGTACTGTCAATAATCGCTCCAATAGTGCGAAGGTTCTAAAAACAATAAAAAAGTTTTACATAGAAAATATCATTCAAATATAATATTAAAAATAAGTAAGTATTAAGATGAGAAATAAAAATACACTTAAGTTTTCTTCATCTGTTTGAATCACAATAATAAGAATGTATGCCACAAGAATTTCTTTGTAGCCTATTTCTAGAAGTTAAACTAATTATGTAAGGTGTACCTGTAATGGTCCAATACATCACTAGCTATGAGCTCAACAGTAGCTCCGGTTTGTTTTGCAGCCGCTCTTTGATGTAATGTTGAGACAGCTTCACTTGCTAGAAATGTTTATAAAATGAATTTTCCATATTTTTTATATCAAACCTTCACATCGTAATAGTATTTGAAATAACTAATAATCACATATAGTTTATACATTAATTTTAAAACCCATATAACGAAATTTTGACTTTTAATACATTTCTTATTAGATTTCAAGCAATTTGTAATTTGATAGCCTTACAGGAACATCCTTCAATCCAAAGCTGATATATTTCTGGATCTATTAGCGTATAGTTCGAAACGAACACATCTACTTCAGTGTACATTTTTGTGTAGATTGTTAAAACAATTGATAATTATCGATCTTTAATTTTTATAACAATAATATTTACAGCTGATTTGATAACTTCGATGTCTACTATCTAGACATGACCAAGACTGGACTGACATTGACACTGTGTACCGTACGTCTTTTTCTTCTTCCTAATTTGACTTTCACATTTCCGTATGTCGTTAAATCCATGTGTCTTCTTCTTCTTAATTTGATGGCTTTACCATTTTGAATGGATTCTGCCAATCTCGTGGGTCCATGAGAGGAATGTATGACGGTATAATTTGTTATTGTTATTTTGTTTTTAGACCAATGATATAAAAAACATCACCTGAATCCCAGAATGTGTATTTTTGTGTTAAAATAATGATCTGTCAGCTGTCAATGTCAGTGTCATTCAACGAGACCTTTATTTCAAAAAAAATATTTTTAATTTTTACACCCATTAGGAGTTTTACAATAATAATAGCTTTTAATAACCGATATTCTCAGGTTTAATTATGTAAACTTGTGCACTAAGTGGTAAATTTGTAATGTAAATAGTCATTGCACAGCTTTGTTAATTTTTATTAGAAAGTTCATAAAAGGAGATTTGTGCTATTACTTGTATATAGGTGTAACTAGGATTTCGCGTTTTGCAAGTCTTTGGAAGTGTTTTCATGGCCTAAATAAAGGTCAACAGCGTGGCTTTGTTGAACGTAAGTGCCGCTTTATAATAATTCTAATGATAAGTTACACGAAGTTGTTTAATAGTATTATCAACAAAGGTAGGAACTAAAAGTAAAAGTGCTAACCATTTACATCAAATTTGCATAAAAAACAGCGAGTCTTTGTTTAAACATTTTAAGTATATTGTTTGATATTTCAGCAATATAAAAATTTCTATTACTCTTAAATATTTAATAATTTATTCAAAACTTGGTGTCTGTTTACCTTTTTTGAATTGTCTTATGCTAAATTCTTTTATCACAGTTTTTGAAGATATAAATTACGTAATTTGTTCAGTTAAATTTAAGTTTGCCAATGTATTATATTAATTTAATAGCTCTAACTTAGAACTATTCAACTTAACCAAAATGTAATGTTACAACAAAATTATAGTAAAAAAGTTTATGAATTCCAGTACAAATTAATCTCAAATTTTAGTGTTACTTACAATCTTGTTGTTTGGTAATGATGTCTACTATATTTTATATAGCTGTTGAAGCTATAAATAAGTCATGCCATGCTTCCTATCTCCTACTACTGGATCCTATGTTGTATGGTACCACTACAGCCAACAACATGGTAAAACTAAGATTGTGTAAGTTATTTGCCAAGGATTTACTGATTGGGACTATTGCCTATTTAGCTGGTTAATTTTATTTACAGAAAAGTAATTGATCATTATTCTTTGTGCCATAAATTATTGCAACACAAGACTACTAGCTATCAACAGTGTCCTTTCAATGCAAGGGAGTTGCATAAGAGTATAAGTGTTCTTCTTTGTTGCAGAGGAATGGTGATAACAGATAACATGTGATAATGATCACTGACAGAAGTGACATGTCCAGTGAGTATTACATATAAGAGATTAAGTGAATATAGTTCTTTTATCATATATAAAGCTAGAAAAAGAAGAATTTAAAAATAACAAATATTATATACTTAAACATAGAAATTTGTGCTTATTATAATAATAAAATTTATTATAATACAGTGTTCATTTGTTTCAGGTGAGGCTACAGAAATGATGGAAAAGGATAAATCGGGGTAAGTAAAAAAAATTGTTTTGTTACTTCCATAATGCTATTTATTTATTAGCTAAGTTAGTATTATTAAGTTAAAAAAAAAACACTTTATAAATTAAAATTGGCATAATTGACTGGTTACCAAGGGAACAGAAAACATGTCTCAATACTGTCAGTGTGAACTCTCCTTATACAATCTAATCTAGCCATTGAGAAAAAAACTTAAATGAAATTAGACTTTCATCGCTGTTCATAGAGTCGAATTTACGTTAAATATATAGGAGATATCGGAATTAGTAGGTTGATTGGTGCGTAATCGGCATAGTGATGTGCTGTGACTTGGCGATGACTTTGCGAAAACGGTAACGAAGAATTGGCATGAGCGATTTACTTGTACGGTACATTCCATGATACTTATAGTAAAAACTAAATATTGTATATTGTTAAAATGTAATAACAAAAATTTAACCATACATAGTAACATGTTAAAACAAATAATATATACATAGATACATATATTGAAGACGCTACTGCGCCACGAAGATATATTTGGCGTAACTCTTTTTTTAAAGATGGCGTAAACAATCAACGTTTAATCTATAGAATCTCTTAAATCTATATAATCTAAATACAAGTCTGCAGTTTAAGCGAGTTTCAATACGACATGAGAGACCTCCTGTGACCATGGCTGCTGCAAAGCATCCAAAACGTCGTGTACTAGTTAAAATAATTTACAAACAAGTTTAACTTATATATATCGAGTTTTAAACTGTAAGTAAAACAGTCTATATAATCGAATCATTGCAAGGGATAAAGTTATCGATAGCGTCATATCGACCGTGCACATCACTACAGCCTCCCATTCAGCCTTCGCACGGCACTCTTGCACTCAGTACGAAAAGTGACGTCGAATAAACGTCTCGAGATTACGCGCGCTTTTCAATTGAAAAAAAAAAAGTTACGCGCAGTTGATATTGTGAAGTGTGTTCTGTGCTTGTGTTTATACTCTGTGTTTTTTTTTTATTAAACGAGCAAATGGTAATTTTTATAGATTTTCTCTCACAATTGAGAAACTTGAATTGCGCTTTAAAGGGAAAGTTTATATGTGGTAAACTAGCGATGGTGTGGTATTATTTTTTGTGTTTAAATTGTTTATCTAAACTGTGTTTTAAAAAAGTCTTCGGTTAAGTATATGTTGGAATACATAAAATGTTAGTTAAATTGTTTTTTAGTGCTATACTTTCTTTATAAAATATTTAAGAAATAAAACTTAAATACTATGTGATAATTCAAAAGAATTTGCGAGCGGGATTAGCAATTTGCTAAGCTGTAGATAATGAGATAATAATTATTAATTGTTTAAACGAGTTCATTTCTCTTGTTTATCCAAATAATCTAAAATGATATACATCCTAATATAGACTCTTTAAAATTATATAAGCTCTTATCCATGAACTTATTATGAAAATTTTAGTTAAATCATTCTTTTTTGCGCGTATTAAGCGTTTTTAAATCGTTTAGCTGCTTATTTTTGCCGAAAATGTGGTAAATCTTTTCTCAACCCTTAAGTTTAATATAGAGATCTATTCTACTCCGAGTGATTAAGTACATCGAGTACAATACAATACTAGATACATTAAGTGGAACGCTAACTTTTATTTTATTTGTTAAGCTTCTGTCCATTTGGGTTGTCTAGAAGAGATCGCTTGGAGAATTAAAGATTTCCGTTGTTTGTAAAAAAATAAAGTATTTAATTAAAAAAATGTATACATTCAATAAATCCCCCGGGGAGTTCCCCCATGGCTACGGCTACAAAGCATTCAAAACATCAGTTTACACAGTTAACAATTAATTTATAAATTTCGCGTTTTAAACGGTTTTATATAGTTTTTTACTACCCGCACAAACCACAGTCGATAATTAAAGTTGTTCATACACCTACTAGTTCTTTGCTGTATATAGTTTATCAACGGGAAAACCAATTCTAGATTGTCTTTTTTTCCACTCAATCTGGTTTCGCCGTACGGATGTTTCTTAGTAGTTGTGTTATTTTCGTCTTTAAGTCTTACTTTTTTTTTACGTGCACTGGTATACGGGCAAGTATATTGGAATTAAAATGTATTTAAAAAGTTAACGCATTCGCTTCTAGTTAGTAGTTCTAGTCGGCCTCGTGTCATTCACTTGTAAAACTAATGCCAGTTGTACTTACAAGATAAGTAATGTATAGTTATTTACTTGCACTATTATTGTTCTACTGCGTTTGTCTACTAAAGATAAGGCATTATTTAAATAGTTAAGAAGTGAACCAAGTAGGTACTAACAAGTGATATAGAGCAACTCGCGACTTTGCTAAAAACATCGACAGTCAAAGTAGATAGTATTTTTATCTGTTTTAAATAGGTAGCTCTAATTAGAATTACGTACTATTTAAATAAAACACTTAATTAAATATATTGAAAAGCCCGACGTTTCGATGCTTTACAGCAGCCGTGGTCACGGGGAGACAATGGAGATTCTACTCAAATAAAACACCGCCTCGCGTAAACTAAGATTTAATTACGTTTTTAAATTAGATGATAATTTATTACTTATATGACACGTACGGTATTCAAACCACTCTCGACTTAGCGGGTGATTTTCTTATAGCTTAGGATAAAATCTTTACTTGTAAGTCTTAAACGTTGGTATCACGTTAAGCTGGAGGTTAAATTGAATTTAATTCGATTAAAGAAATTCTATGTCCTGTACATAGAATTTATTTATCTTTTATAGACGGTAAAGCAACAGCACGCTATGTTGTGCTAATGGTTCGGATTCTGCCCATGTCGTGAAATAAATAAATATACGAAAATACTCTTGGTGTGTTGGTAGCACTGTGTGGTAATCGACGAGTCGTGGTTGCCATCCCCATCGGGTCCAACATCTTTCTAATAATTTAAATAAAACACTAACGTTTAAAACGTGATATATTAGTTAAACTTATTTAAAAAATGATTTTAACTTCGGCCCGACGTTTCGGATGCAGCAGCGCGTGGTCGGGGGAGACTCTCCCCAAATAAGTTCTAACTAATATATCGCGTTTTAAACCGTTAAAGTGTTTTATTTAAATGTGTACTATGGTACTATAAGATCTTTCTAATAAATTTATAATCTTTCTCAAACACATTGGACTTCTGGAAATTAAATGGATGACGAATCACCGTCCACAGATGAAATTGACAGTGTGTGAAATGACAGTCTGTGGATTTCCGAATGACATAAGTCAAAATAGGCCGGTAGCACATCTCGCTGCGATGTTATGTAGCTAGGGTATTCCAAATACCCTTAAGTGAACCCCTTGCTTGTTTAAAATATAAATTAAAAACGACAAAAATATTGTTTTTGCCTGATGCGCCTGAATCGATTATTTTATCACAATAATCATATTAGCTGTATCGTCGAATTAAAATGTAATAAGACTGTAATGCGGGTTATCTCGTTGTGTAACTAGGTAATCGTTTATATCAAAAATGATAGTCGAAAAGCAAAATACTTTAGAAAAAAATATTCTTTAATTGCACGCATATAATAACCTAATAATGTCCCGCTGTTACAATAATAGTGAATTTCTTCTAACTTGGCAAAATAACAAAACAAATATAGCCGATTTCAAACCATGTGGACTTAGTGTTGCCCTTCTATAGAGTGTAGATGGTCATTGCCACAGATGATACAGGGTTAATGAAATATCCATAAATCACTTTTATGACAACATTTTTGTTTTATTATTTTTTATGTAACTCGGTGTTTGTAACGCTTTTCAGCGCTTATGTTGTCGTAGACTCTGCTTACAGCACATCCTTATGCAAATGACACACTAAAGTAATTTTAATCTGTGCATTTACGTAAATTTATTGCTAAGATGTTTATTAATTTTAGTATGAAATTTAAGGTTTTTACCAAGTGAATTCGAGGTAGTTCATTAGCTGTGTGTTTGTTTGGCTCTTTCTAAACACTTCTTTCACTTGTCTCTTAGTTTTGCTATTCTAATCCACGTATTTCCTGTTGTATCTTTGTCTTCGCATCTTTTCAATTACCTGCCTTTTTTCTTTATTTCGATACTAATTTAATAAACCATGCCAGCCATGCAGCTCTGCTGAGCACGCATGTTTATTCAATGTCACATTTATGACTTGATAAGATTTTATTATTATTTACTAATCGCCCAAGAACTACGTTCCCTACGTGTATTTGAGACGTAGTTAGTACAAGAGCTCCCGATACGATATCTGCGATAGTAGCAGATAACGAGTGTAGTTCAAATATACAACGGATAAACCAATAAAAACGTGGACCGTAAAACGAAGTTTGGAATATCACTAAGTGTGTAGGTATTTAAAGATGTCTTTATATTTGAGAATTTTTAATTTTTAGGGTTGTAAGTTGTAACGTGTATTGCTCTATAATAACTAGATGTGCCCGCGACTTCGTCCGCGTGGAATAGTGACTTTGGATAGAATTTTAAATTCCCACTCTCACCTCACATCACTCCTACCCTAACTTCCACTCCCACTCTCATTCCTATATTCACTTCCACTTTCACTCCCATTCCAAAAAAGCCAAAGAAGAAAGTCTTATTGTTCTATCTTCAAAACTTATGAATTTCCATACATACTTTCATCCCTCTTTTCAACCCCTTACAACTTCCTTGGCATTAAAAAGGCTATGTCCTTTCACAGGCTCTATAATATCTGTGTACCAAATTTTATTTAAATCGGTTCATTAGTTTCGGCGTTAAAGCCGGACAGACAGACAGACAGAGCTACTTTCGCATTTATAATATTAGAATAGATCAATCTGTTCGTGAGAAAATTTCCTAAATTAGCCGACAGAGTATATTAGTAGTTTTATTAAGAATGTTATTGTCTGTATACAATGGTGTTATAATATGACATGTAAATATATTCTTTGTTACTTACCCGGTCATGAGTAGGGCTGATACATTTTGTTCCTGACGTGGACTGACTTTAGTTTTAGAGTAAA